CGCTCTTCCGGTAATTTCCATTTTGTTTCATGTGTTTGCGACCGATGCATTTCACATTTTGTCAGGATTCAGGAAACCGATTTGTTTTATCTGTGCAATTGGAATTCCATGACCTTGTATGCAGGCGCTTTGGTCGGTGTGGTTCAAAGAACCAGGAGGCTGTATAGAGTCAGGAATTAGAGAGTCGTTTGTTATCACCAGTTTCTCTGGTGAACTCTTAACTGCATGGATTTGTAGACAAAATTGTCCCCAGCTCTAAAGCAAACGATATTTTAATTTCATTGATACACAGGCCAAGTCTTCCGATGCGCTAGATGCAGACTACCTTTTGAAATAACTTTCTGTATACAGCAACAGCACCATTCATTCACATCAGTTAGTGAGGGTTTAGAAAACGAATTTGATCTTGTAAAGTCGAAAGTCGCTGATAAGTTTAGAGTCTTTGAAACCTCTTCATTGCAAACAGCGTTTTCTGACGTGAGTTCGGTTATACAAAGAACACAGATTCAGTACGGCAACCTATGGGGATTGAGCGCTCAAGCCGAAAAAATTCTGATGCAGACTTTGGCCTCATTGGTAACTCACTCACATGGTAAAAGTTAACAGTAGCTTGTTTAACCACCCGTAATGATATAGCCCGAAAACTTTACACACTTCAGTTTTTATCAACAGTACCGAGTTGGGACGTCGCATGTACCCACCTGTTTATATGAAACTGATAGTTGAAAAGGGTCACAGGGCCTGGATATCGCGAATCGTACAAAAACATTTTCCATCCACAGACGAGACCCAGGGAGATCATCTTGGCCTTCCAGTAACTCTTCTGATCACTTCACATTGTTTTGACCTGAATAATACCGTTTAACGAACGCTTTTGTTAGCACACTTCCGTTAATACTTTTACAGATTCATCCTGCAGTAATTGATCATTGGCTTGCTCGATTAGTGCTGATAATTACGAGAAGTTTTGCTTGGGAATCTTTGCTGTGATTTTGGAGGGTTCGGTTGAAATATCCTTTATCCTATGATTAGTTTGTGACACCAAATCGCCAGTCTTCATGAGTGATTCAATCGCTTCTTTGAGTGCTGTTACAAACCCCTGTTTCAACTATTCATGATTCTTCTCACCTTAGTGAGAAGTAAAGCACTTGCTTCAGTGTCGAACAAACTGAAAATCACCTCATATCTATTCAGATCACTGTGTTCGTGTAGTAGAGTTGGGGCAATGGAACATAGCATCCATCAGCATAATATGATATCTCTTTTTTCCAGTTAGTGTAAAATTCAGGTACAGAAGTGAAATGTGAGACAGCTTTCGCGGTCGCTCAGCTTGTGGATAAGTTGGATGCTCAGTAGTTTTCCACTGACCTCGCCTCTTTTGCATTATGTTTAGTTACATATTACATTACGAAGACTACACTGTGTCCTATAGCTTTCAAGGAAGCTTCAATGAAGTGAGAAAGGCCATTCTACGAAGATTGGCCGAAGTGAATTTCGTGTACCTGTTTGTAGGAAGATCTATAGGCTGGGCAAGGCCACCAAGGGGTCAGCCGGAAGAATCACCAGGGTGATCAACTGGGTCGATCGCAGAGTTCAAATTACTAGCAGAAGCTTGGGATCAATTGGCTGGTTCACTGCGTCTAAATAAAGGAAGGTCGTCTATAAACAAATTTAGGGAAACTCCGGCCCGCTTAACTGGATGATCTGTATAAGATTTTTCTGTAACCGGCTTCCTCGAACAACTTTGTAAATGGCATGCCCAAACGTCATGAAACAATTATCGTCAGAGGACACTGGAAGAGGAAAATAAATCGTTTAACGGCCAAGCCTCGACAACAGCTAGCAACAACACTAGCTTTAGCGTGAAAGATTTCCAATTTTTGCAATTCAGTATGCCTATCCGACTTTGGATTATCGTGCTTGCTGATTGTGTGTGCTCAAGCTCCAATGTGAGATCCACAGAAGGGAGAAACTCTAATGATTACTTCTGTACAGGCGTGACACACTACTCATAAGACTGTTGAAAACTTTTCTATCTGAGGAAGTGTCACTCAAGCAGCCAGTGAACACGTGATCGCGTGAAGTGAATGGTACGACGGCAGAATAAGCGGCGCATCATCCATACTGCCAAGCACCCGCCTACATACTGCATACATACAAACAACCTGTTTCATCAACCTTAACGCTCTTTAGTTTGTTTCTCAGGGTAACGAATTACTACGTTTCGTACATGTTATCGCACAAATGGAATACTCAATTTCTATTTGAATACTACTTTCGATGACGACGTTTTCAAGTTGAATGGATAAATGTAACAAGCTAACGTAAGTGCATAAATTCACAGGATCTGTTTTGAACTAAACAGCATGTTTTTACTTCTTGCTGTTGAAACATGGATACTAAAACGCCTCAGTGCATGACGTCACATAGTTTATGTCATCATTGTGTCATCACTGGCACTGAGTAATATCTTCTGTTTTGAAACCAAGATGTATTCAATACAAAAACTAATTGTCTCAGTGTAGCAGTGTCAACTGATCCCTCTTAAGGCTTACCTAAAAGTGCCAATGACAGGTGTAAAGCTGTGCCTTGGCCCATAAGTTTAAATCAAACTCGATTTGACTATACAACGACCCCAATTATGTCGGTTAATAAACCTCACGCCTGGGCAGGTTAGACGCTGTGTGTGGTTCTGGAACCTGGTTAGCGATTGGTGAATACCCGAAGAAAAATTCTTCTAGAAAGCCCACCCGGAATTTCCGAAACCTGACCTCGATAACGTTCAAACCACAGTCACGTGAAAACCACTCTGGAAAGGAAGGTATTATAACGACGGTCAAAAACTACTGAAGAAATGCGATGTGCACATAATAGACGTACATGTAGAAATGGAATTTTTAATAAGGCGGTTGGTACCGAAGGGGTTGCCAGGAGAGTTCACAGATATTCAAGCGTCATATGACTCAGTAATTACAGCGCGAATTTACTGACCGGAAGGTTCTTGATTCCAACCCGACGTCTGCCTCTCGACTTTTCCCATTAGACTTGGGCGACCTGACAGTATCCCAGCTTTTGTGCTTCCTTCGGGTGGAATGGCAGTCGGACACCAAAAGGGTGCTACAGATGAGCAATTATTTATTATTTTAAGCGTGACATTTTACGCCAGCTCTTTCCATGGTGAATTTCGTGTACCTGTTTGTAGGAAGATCTATCTAGAAACATCCACTTATTTCAATCCAGACTATTAAGAAGAGGAAACATAAGTATAGAAAAAGCCCAAGGTCAGTCGATTGTAACCAAACAACTAATATGTTCACATCGTCTACAGATTCCTGCTAAAACACTGGTATTTTGAGCTTGTTTTCGAATGAATCGGAAATCTGTGCGCTTGTCAAAAATGTGCTCTAATACGTTAAAATTCTAGTCGTGCTACCCCTGATTCAGGTAGCTACTTTGCTACGGTTTTGGGGAATTGAGTGGCGTCTGGCCGGTTATTATTGTCTGATTGTTTACCTCATACGCAAGCAGGTTCGTGACACCATGTAAGCATAAAACTCTGAGAATGTCACAGAGAGTTCCAGACTCAACTAGAGACATTTGGACACATGAAGGTCAAGACGGGTGAGGCCCAGAGACAAATTGTGGGAGGTCAGCATTTGTTTACAAACACTTTGCTTTTGACGGCGTACGGACATCTGGTAAGTAGTTGCGATTTTGCTAATGGGTGGATTGTCTTATTGGACCATTGTTATCAGGGCTAATACCAGGGTGCGGTGGATACCTACTGATGAGGCATGCGAGTAGTATGTGGTTTTCTCGTAAGCCCCCTTCGCGTCTACTGAAAAATGAGATTTATTACGGAATTAGTGGAATCGCTTTGTAGCATTCGTTTACGTTTAAGTGATAGTCAATCAGTATCCAGGAAAGTTCAGGAGGACCTGTTTGAGACGAAGACTGATACACAGTTTTTACAAAACAAGGTGCATATGTGAAGTTTGCTTCCCTCTCCAATAGTCTGACTGTTCAATTGGTGTTTTCCGATAAGTAACTCCGCACCAAAGGCCCTCTTCTTTTCATTTGGTACCGTGGCCAGGATAAGGAAGAAGATTCCGTGGCCACAACCCTTTGAGGATGGGGATGTTCGGACCTTCCTGGAGAATTTCGAGCAGGCTGCGGAGGTTGCTTGACTGGGTACCGACTGGGGTAGGTTGGCGGCGCTGAAGACCCTCATGAGAGGCCGGGTAAAGGCGGCCCCGGATGCGGTCAGATGGACTGGGCCACCGCGAATGAAGCTTTTGCAGCGGTGTTCGACACACCGGCCGAACGCTAGGAAGCTATGAGGCGGTTCAAAACGGCCAGGATGGGACATAGATGCGTTCCCACGGTGCTTAGTTCCGCTGATAGCTGGTTGAAAGTTGTTCACTTATTTTTCAAAAAGTGTTCAGTCTGATAGGATACAGAGAAGACCGCTATGATCAGATGGACACGGCGCAAAAGAAGGTAATGCAAACACTCCAACCAAAAATCCCAGTTCCATCAACACAGCTGTAGGTGAACCACTTTGTGAAATCAGTGGTTTCTAGACATCGACATTTGGTTCCATGACCGTAGTGTATATCCTCTTAGAAGTCGAGAGGCAGAGATCGGACTCGAGCCACGGACCTTACGGTCAATCAACTCGCACTCTAACCACCGAGCCATTTCGTCATAGAACCCACCCATTTCGGATGACTTAATTTCGGTTTGCATCTAGTGACTGTCAGTCCGATGAACGATCGTTCAAAGTCCCTTTATGGACAATTTTGTGGAGGAGCACATGGAAGCAAATAGTTTGGATCTCACAACGGCTATCCAAACTTGAGTCAAAACAAATGACCGATTAGAAGCAACCTACAGGACGAAACAAATGCGCAAAAAGTTCTAGGACGTTTCAGACTAGACAGACAACGACTTCTAAATTATGTTGGTGTATCTTCCGTTGTCCAAACCTTCTCATTCAGTCAGAGAGACTGAAATCATCCGGATTACAGTCAATGGTAAACAAAACGTCTGTTGTTGATGATGATCGGTTCCTGATGATCGGGACCATCAAATGGTCCAATCAGGATGATCACCATGTGATTTGCCAAGGTAACGGGCTGGTAGTCTGCATCGCTATTTTAGCGAAGCGTCCAGATAACACGCCTGTCGCTCTTGTCAGAGATATGGCGTTTAAATTCCAGCAAAAGTGAGCTGCACAACACCGAAGAGTTCTATTAAGCTAGCTGCTAGCATGTAGTTCCCTCAGTGTTGGCTAGACACAATCGACAGGGATAAAACCCGTTCAGATGACAGTGGTGCTGCCCCGATCACTTCCTTTGCGACTTGTGGTCTGAATCCAGTCACTCTCCTAGACTCCACTAATGGAGGGGATTTTCTGAGTGACACTTTATCGAAACCAACAATATTCACCAAATAATGTGACTAAGTGATTCCTTTCTCTTTATTTATGCTCCAAAATACTCTTTATATTGCTGCTTCATTCAGGTTTATCGAGGCACACCATCCTTTTAAAACCGGCTGTAGCAACTGAATGAAACAAAAACCTCAGCCTGTGAGTACGCCTTCTCCATATTAATCTGTACTGACCTTCTCGTGTTAGGCTTGATTTCTGCTTAAACGGGACGAAAAGATGTTCATTTTGTGAGATTTATCATGCATTTAGACTGAACGTCGTGTCCGAATTGCACCAAACTCTGTTTAGTACGTTTTAAACAGTCACAAAAAAGTACCGCTTACATGGTAAAAGAAACAGCGTTGTACTTATCAAAACAGCACGCATATCACGTGATGTTAATTTCAAGGTGCTTCGAATCTTGTTCCAAAGATTCTTTCTCCGGGTACAGATTACGAATCATCACGAATTACCTAGTGTGTCTCCAAGGGTAAATGAAATCCGACGTGGATCATAGGTGGTACTTTGCATTAAGGGTTGTCTAATGTAAACAAAGTGCTTTTTTGGACTTTCGTAGTAGAGGAGCAAATGTTTTACGGTCATCGGTTCGCTAGTTGGTTTCAGTACCAAACTTGAACACCAAAAAAATCAGAGTGCTCTCCTTTGTTTGGAAGTATTACAATGTGACCGCTTTTCGTCTATGTTACTTGTAGCCTGTGAAGTCCGTATGCAGAAAAATGCGTCGAAAGAGACCGAATAGTAGTCCAAGGGAGCCAGTGTGTCCCCATAAATGCAACATGTTTCACAAAGCCCTTGTTTCGAAATGACTTTTGGTGAATGTTTGTGGAGTTCGTAAGTCCTTAGCCTTACGATTTATTTTTTTCCTTCTCGAGAGTCGTCTGTTGGCCACACAGATCGGACACATAAATCTGGTTATCACTCCCAGGCTGGTTCTCGGGGAACGACACGAAATTCCGTAGGTGTGCATATTTATTTCCCAAAATATCAGCATGTCAGTCGAGGGGCTTTTTCGACACATACAAATATGCTACGCACTTCAGCAGCAAGGGAGGGTGATAATGCAACAAAATAGAAACCGAAGGACTAATAAAGACTACGCCCCAGCTTAGTTTGGGAAATGAACACCTGGCAGATGTTTGTGAACTGACGTTTGCATTTGCGTTCATCCTTCGATGTGCAGGGCATGTTGATTACCTTAGGCTCCCCAGGCTAAAGGTCACAGTAAGGCGCAACAAGTGGCCCTGTCGACTCAATAAGAACACTGGAGTGAGGTTTACTTGAGCGGCATCTGTTTCACCACTAGATGACTAGAACGAAATGACGTTTTAAGTACAGTCGAAGTTCACAAGGAAACACGGAAACGGTCTTTAAAATTTTGGTCGATTTGGCCATTGTTGGCAGAAGCAGTGAAATGTTTGTCAGTTCACGCGACCCAAAAGAGCACATTTCAATCAGATATAAGTTGTTCACAATGGTTTCTCGTTTCAGACCCAGTGGATCCTATTCTAGTCCATGGAAAGTGAGTTATCATTTGCAAGAGGGGTGTAGCGTTGAAATCCAGGTGTCGTTAATCAGGTCATGTTTCCCGGTTTTTCAAGCACACAGCACTTGTTAACGGGGAGTCTCTCGATGACCGATTAGAATACTGAAGAGCCAGAACGACTACTCCCAGGGGGACATTGATTTTTTGAGTAGAAAATGGTGGATACAACTTCCGTCTGTGGTTGCACTGATCAACCCGATCAATGAGCTACTCCGATGCGTACCGTCAGTTCAGTTCAGACTTGGAGTCGCAAACCATATACCATCGGATGTTTAGATCTACTTGTTGTGGGCAAGAACGAGGTCCAGTCAAAGTTTCACTACTTTAAACATGTGGCATTTCACGCCTCACCAAATAGGAAATCTGATGCCAGGCTTGTTTCGTCAGAAAAATGATGGACTGTTCCTTTTCGGTTGCTTCAATAAATGTGTTCAACGCTAACTTTGTTTCAGTGTACGCCGGTGATGTTGGGAACTTGGAAACGGCCTGCTTCGATTAGATTCAAAACGGTTATTTGAGAAAACCACTCCGTTGGGTAAATTATTGGGTAAAAAGTCCTTAAAGTCAAGTATCACACAAATACAGTCTACATGACAATAGAATATACGAAGAAATAGTCAGCGAAATAATACCACTTGATATCACTCACTGTCAGGACTTTAGAGTATTCTGTTTAAAGGTTGTGTGAATTCACCTTGATTCTTGCTAACAGTGTCATCATTGTCAGCTGTAATAACCGCGTACTCGTCGTACAGTAGTTGTAGCTGCCACAGTTTCGTTCACCGATGATTTGGGGAGGTGGGGTAGGTAGCTGCGTATTGCACGCGGGAGATGATAAATTGGTGCATAAAACCAGCAATGTCAGTGTGCTGTCAAGTGGGGAGTTAGGTTGGGAAGGGAGCTATGCATTGAAGGCAATGGCTAGAATGTTCCAGTCTGTCAAAAGACTTCAGTTGTAATGCAAATGGGATTGAAATCAACTAAATCGCTTAAAATGGGCCTTGGCGTTTTGGCGTCTGCATGGAAAATTGGGTCGAAACATTGCATCATGTTGATGACCAGCACTTCACGCAAGATGAAGCACGTTTGAATTGATGAAGAGATATCTCTTTCTGGAGAGCAATCTAAAATGTTTGCATTGATGAAGAGATATCTATCATCCAGTGACCTCTGTTTGGAGAACAATCTAGAAGAACACTATCCATAGATTATGAAACGAAAACTTGTTGTAGCCATCTATCGCAGAGAATATTTTCCCTCTCTTTAGTTTTTGTTATGTACGTATCAATTTCAATAACAACACATGGACGCGTCCAGGTTAAATTTGATTTGAACACCAGAAGAGAGTTTAGGTGAACGAGCTTTACATTTTCGAAGGGTTAGTGGCTGTTCAACATCCCCAGAGAAGGTTAAAAAGAGTTTTCCAATGAAATGAATTTGAGTTCAACTGCGTGTTACAAATTTTTGGATGTCACGTTGTCGTGAGTTGGTATTGGTGTACTGTTGGTCGCGCTTCCGTGCGCCAGTGCCATAGAAAGGATGCTTGGGTGCATAGTTTTGTGTTTGAAGACGTGAGAAATGGGAAGCTGTTTCGTTATTCCTGCGTCCTTAAGTAATTTTGCGGCGTCAGTTGTCTGCTAAAATCCAGTTATTCTCGTAACCATCAAAATGCATCGCGAGGAGATTCAGATGCTGATGCATCACAATCCGCAAACGTTGTGCCAATACTTACAGTTCCCAAACAAGCACTAAAAAATCAAGATGATACTTAATTTTCTCACAAAGGTTCTTATCATATCTACAGAAAAACAAATCCCTGGATGTTGCGGTGGAGGATAGGAATTTAATCAGTAGGTACGTGTTGTCGAGAGGAAAATCCTTTGGGTGTTTCAGAAATAATGTGAAATTTTCACCAAGACCATTATCAGCTGAGCGGCGACTGGCTGATTGTATATCATTTGGTACTACGACATCTCGAATATCGTACGAACTGAAACATCAGGCAGCCTGTGTGCAGCGCATTCAATTGAAGAACATCACAGACGCGAGTTCCAATTCATTCTCCCGTGGAAACCTAATCGACTTGCAAATGAGTGTATTTTTCGAAATCAGTTCTGTTTGGGTTCAGGTAGAACATAAGGTTGACGGAAACTCGGGGACTTCGCCTGTCCGGTGAGCGCCACGAAGAGCGCAACTGGTCGCGGGCTATCGGAGCGTTTTCAGTAACCTTGAGAGTGGTTTCATTTATATCACTGAGATATTCAGTCTACTCTATCCTAATTCAAAGTTACGAAAACGGCCCTTGAAAAGAACTACACATTCCTTAACAGGGTTGCTTCCAACCTCCCTGAGAAGTGGTTCATTTTGTGAGAGGAAGCGGAGTCTTCGGTATTTCCCGGTTGTTAGCACTGAACTTCTGCAAGTTTGTAGCAATCCCAATTTTTCTGAGAACCTGTAAAAGACAATGTCACCGTGCAGGCAAAAGGGCAGTCAATGAAGAAGAATTGCTTTGCTCCACATCTTGATGAATCAACTATTTCTGACAGTTTACCAGTGGGAGTAGTTATCCTTCAGAGATGTCTCCCGGGAAGAGAAACTGTTGAACCAAGGTGAGATTATGAAGACTTCAGCGCCAGGTTCTAGAGGATACCGAAATAAAGTTGTAAGCTTAGGGCTGGCTGCAGCCATTCGTGACAGAAAAATGTCACAAAAGATGTATAACACCTGTGTATTGTTGGACATAGAATTTCAAGTTCTTTCGGTAGGTTAACATCATAATTATACAGTCTTTAATACCAACCAGCACTCGTTGCTGAAAGTAGTCAAATCTCAATTTTCTCACCGAAACTTGACGAGCAATGATTCATTTTAAACGATTTTTGTTGGCAAATAATGAATAGACGGAGAAACCTAACAAACGCTCCGTTACAGAGATCGCTGTAGGCCCAAGGGATCGCAGTCATCATGTTTTGGCGACAGCAAAACTGTAGCATGCTGCCCAAGGTCATGTGATCGATATCAGGTCTTAATTCAAATGGTACTGGTTGTAGAGAACTCACTGTATCTCACTGTAACTCACTGTTATCGAAGCAAACAGTGGAGAAACATGACATTAGGAATACTACCTCTCTGTAGACGTTGATTTTCCGGTTATCTAGTTCACCAGAGAGCCTACCTGGAAATGATTCGATGGTTTTGTTTTCAGAATAACTTTTAAGAAAGGCGAGCGATATATCAACGACCGGAATCATTCTCGGGCATTTTTTGTACAAGCGGTGGATGCTGACTTTCCACACACATGTTTGGCGCACTTTAGTTGCGCACACATAAAGGTTGTTGGTGATTACGGTATTCCTACCCTTCTTATGTGCGTCACAATTTGCCTTGAGTTTTGAAAAATGTGTGGAATATAACTGATCCACACACACACACACAGTTTGATGCACCGTCCACCTCATGGGGTGATTACGGTATTCCTACCCTTCTTATGTGCGTCACAATTTGCCTTGAGTTTTGAAAAATGTGTGGAATATAACTGATCCACACACACACACACAGTTTGATGCACCGTGCGTCCACCTCATGGTCAAGACCACGGATATGCCTTTACTCACTGCTTAGTGGTGTTCTACAGACCTAGTTGCCGACCGGACACTGAAATACCGTAACGCAATTAGTGTTGTTAGATTCTGTTCACTTACCTCTAAATATATCTAGATCCAGCCATTTGATGGAAGTAAACCAGAAGACTGATAAAAATCCCTGCGCTGTATTTCGAGCGCTGGCTAGTTCCAGGAGAAGCTACTACAATCAGCGGTAACTGAGTAGGGATTTTTTCATCCTTTCTCTTTCTTGTGCAGTAATTAGTACATATCAATTGGTACCCTAATGTATACTACGACTGCTGTCAGTCGTATTAGGTTGTAGCTCGTCTCTTAGCCGCCTGGATCCTTAAGGTTCACAGTCCGAGGAAATTTTGCCTGACATGACATCAGTTGGCCGGTGTGACATTTTTCTTCGGTTGACTCGCTGTACGTTTTTTACCTGGTGCCTATAAAAGGGTGAGTTTGTCTCCCAGACTAGGGAGAGATTGCATACAAGAACTTTACTTCACTCAGTGAAAATATATATATATATATATAATTGTATTAAAAGCCCTACAGTGAAGAGAAGAGAGAAAGAGTGGGTGAGGGAGGGGACCTAGTGCTGGCCTATGTTAAGCATTCTGAGGTGCCTACACATCCAACTGTTCAGACAGTCTTGAAAGAAACTGACACCACGAACGCCATTGACATCGATTAACCGCCATTTCTTGCAACGTCTCCGGCAAGGCACGAACGGGGTCACGGGGACCCCATCCTGGAAGTCTCACAACACCAACAACATCCTAACTCTTCGTGATCTTTTTCACGCCTTTCTGCCAAGTCATGCGCTGTCCAACTCGCGATTTGCGCCATTCTGAAGGAAGCACGGAGAACAACACTCGTCACAGTAGACGGTGTTTCGGCATGCGTAGCACGTGACTGAGCCATCGTAGTTGATTATGCTGGATGTCTCCCTGGATTGAAGTACCTGCAGTACAATCAAATACCCGTTTTCTAATCACCTCGTTACTAACACGCGGACGCCATCCAAAATCAGCCACGCTTCTGAGGTATCGGTGGCCGAAAACCTGAAGACGCCTCACATCATCTGTCCCCAGAGGCCACGTCTCGCACCCGCACAACAACACAGTCCTTACTGTAGCTTGGTACACACTACCCTTAAGATCTAGTGATGTCTTTTTGTCGCCACAAGTGCCGCAAATTAGCAAATGTGCTTCGAGCCTTTGAGATGCCGAGGTATGTAAAGTATTCCACAATCTCCGGTGATTCTTTTTGAGTTGTAAGGGATATGTTCGGAGACTCCACGTTCTGAAGCATGACTTTGCACTTTGAAGGTGCAAGGTGCATGCCAAAAGATTTTATGATGGTGGTCAGTCTATTCAACAGGACTTGTGCTTCACTTTGGTCTTCAAAGATGAGGGCGATGTCATCTGCGTACTCCTGATCAACAAGGTTCTCACCAGCAACAATCTGAACATTGGAGTTTTGAAGACCTCCCAGGGTAAGCCTCATAATTTCATCAATGACGAAGTTGAAAAAGAATGGAGAGAGTGGACAGCCTTGTTTGACACCACTGATTACAATCTAAGAACGGCATCCATCGCTATCTGAACAAACTGGTGGTAGTGGGGCAACTATGTGCAAGTCCTTCAACAACCTTATCGATGTACTGAGCTGCATTATAGCGATGGAATTGGCACGTTCCATTACTCCAAGAACATGGGGTTACGTATGCCTTGGAAGAGCAGATGGCCCTGTCCAACTTTTGCGGAACTAGGTAAAAATTCTACGGCGTTCTCATAGGACTGTATGATGTATCGAACTAGGAGGTGACGGGACTCCAAAGGCCTAAGCAGATCTGACAGTTGCGTCGTATGAAACTGACCCGAAGGCTTACGAAATGTGATCAAACACCAAACTGTCACAAGAAAAATCGCCGAATAGTGACGAAACAGAACGCGTAACTGCTTGGATATAGAAATAGAATCCATAGCATTCAGCAAGCAATTTATGAGGGCACTGAACAAGAATGGATGACACGAAAATCTGCCTCATTTGAATTCGGATTTGGGAGCTTGGAAACTGGAGTAACCGAAGCGTAGCAGAAAAGAGATGGATCACACGCAGATGATAGCAGCAAGTTGAACTACTGAGCATGTGTGTTGGCATTCTATGAGACTGTCCAAACCCGGCAACGAACGGATTATATTGGTAGTTTCCTCACACGTAACTGATCCCATCAAGCTCCATTAAAATGGCACACTGTGGAACATGGCCCTCTATTCACGTATTTTGTAGCAGATAGCACCTGTATCCGGTTCTGTTCGATACCCAAAACAAGGCCGCAGTTTCTCTTGTATATTTCCCTCCACAAACCATCGGGCACAGTAGATGCTGCATCCTTTCGCCTTTGGCGGTTCAGGGTCCGAATGACAATGTAGTGGGCCCAGTGACTGATTCCGGTTGGCCGGCACATGACGGGCCTCCTAGCGACGGCATCGGACAGATTTTCACGTGTGTAGAGAAGTCTGCGGCGTGTGGAGGTCCAAAAACGACTGGACTTGCTGCAGTGTTATGATGCAATCACCGCGCAAAGGCTAGGTCAAAATTATCGACTGAGCTGTCAGAACTGGATTCCAAGGGCTCGCTGCAATCTACCGTTTGTTCGGACCAGACTCCATAGTCGTCAGAATCGGACAGAAGTGGAGCTGTTTAACCGATGGTTTAGTCGGAGCTATTAGGTGTTGACTCATCCATCTAGGGTTGTCAGTTAAACACACGTAGCTGAATGACCAGAAAACTACTTTTACATTCTCGCAAGCGGCTTGGTGCGCGTGCCACTATACGGATGTAACTTGTCAGCCAAGCGCACTAGCGACTGACTCCTGTTGGAACCGGCGAGGACCGAAAACCTTAACTCGCCCAGGTTGTCTGCATAATGCTGGGTAAGGCGTGTCAGAAACAGGCGGAGACAGTCGACACAGGCCGATTGGACGACAATGTTTGGAGGTGAACTCGACGGTGGGCTAACGAGCCAAGCCTCGATTTACAGCACTTACCACAGTCCTCACATATTATCCCCACGAGTATATTGGTTAAAACTGCTCAGATGTGCCGGTTCGATAGTGTTCCGTTGCAGAAAGTACGTGGAAACCGAACAAGGAGTTTGGCCCTGTCTGTCTTAACTCACCGGCACCGCAATGTGGTTCAGCACGTTGGCTAACGAAGCAGCATCACCGCTACATCAATAGTAAACCGCCTGAGTTCTCATTTGCAAGGTACGGTAGTCCCCATGGATCCCAAATCATGAGCACCGAGTTTAGGACTTTCCTGGAAAAGCGGTTCTTCAAGTATCGGACGAAAAGTCCTCATCATGGCTAATCGAAAGTCAAAGCCGTCAGCTATCCTAAAATCATCATCGTAAAATATCAGGACGGAGTAGAGTAATAATGGAATAATGGAAAATGTCAATTCCATCGCTATGATGCAGTCCAACACATCGATAAGGTTGTCGAAGAACTTGCACATTGTTACCCACTTCCACCAATTCGTTCAGATTCTTAGGCACCCAACCTGACCAGGTGCTTAAATGAGTGGCGAATGTGCCAGAACCGGCTCGTATTAGGCTTTGCCAGAAATATGCGTCCCGAAGAAGCTGGACCCCAGCGTGTTGCGGTTTGCGCACCTTAGTAATTCATTCAACTGTACTGCAGAATACTCGTCCGGCATCCATCCCCTAGTGGATGGACCTCGGAACCTAGTCACGACCTGACGAAGCTTTTGTGTCAGAAGCGAAACGTTGCCCAGCAATAAATCCACCAATTGTTTGCCAAACCTCTCCGAGACTATTTCGCTGTTATACATGATTATTTCAGCCAAAGAATAACATGAATCTTCTGCACTTTGAGGTTGTCCAAACCTAACATAAATAGAAACCCGTATGTGAACGAAGTAACGTTTTTCAATACAAAGTTAGGTGTGGCAACAGAAGCATCGAACAGATAACGGCTGTAAAAACCTAAGTGAATGTCAGAGCATAACCAAATTCGAAACCAATGGTGAAAGTCTTCTAGAGCCCGTATATCATACGCTCGGGCGAACCCAAGACTGACATCGCGAAAACTGCCTCCGAGATGAAGTCACCTAAGTTCAGTACTTCAACTCTACCAGCGAATGAATTTCTCAACCATTGAAAGGTGTCCGAGAAAAGCGTCAGTCAGCCGACAGCATTTAACCAGCGTGAAGTAGTCTAAGGAACCGATGAGTCATCTTGTTGCATTATAAAGAACCGTACTTGCCGCAAGCCGTGACCGGGTATACGATGTTGAGCAGACGGCAAGCAACTGATTGGTCAAATTTTACTGCACTCGTTAGAGAGGTTCTCACCACAGAACTGGGGCAAAACCATACAGAACGCATAAGGAGAGGGAGATTTAGCTTCGTTAGGCAGAGGTTCCGACCGTCCTGCGACCGTCTTTGTAATATTAAAAATTGCTCGCAGTCACTTTGTGAACTAGGTACATTTCATATTTGATTGTCGGGCACGCAAGTGCCCGCTTCAATAAGAACTTACCAATGGTTTATACCTAAACGTGATCTCATTCCCTTGAAAAAAGGGATTCTAAGATGGCACCCTTTCGAAGCGTTCTAGTAATACGATCCCGAGGGGCACCGTACATCGTCCGCGGTGTCCTGACAGCAGCCGTGGTACATAATACGGTGTGGAAAAACCATAACCCATAACAATACACTTAAACAGTCAACTGGTTTTCATAATGAAAGTGAAACTGACCTTCACTGGACACACAAATGAGCTGTCACAGATCAGGGTCTGTGGTGACCGAGACAAACCGCCCTCACAATTTAGGAACCTGATCGCCGAGCTGTGGCGGTATCAGAATACCCGTCTCTGTGTGAACTGCTTTGGCGAACAGTTGGGAAAAGTTCAAACCATCCAACTGTTGAATTCGTCTCATTTTTCACTCTGGCTGCTTCATTGCATTCTCCTCCTGGGCAAACCATGGAAAAAGGGGATGCTAACTGACACGAAAAACCATCAAGGATATTCCAACGACTTTCCGAGCCCTAATTTCACTTCGGATCCCCAACAATCGATATCAAAGTTGATGATTGCATTCAGTCACTTGAAGGTCGAATTTATTTACATTCCCCCACATTAAATGAACAGGTGGAAGTTCAGTGCAGGTCAACCCAACCAACGGCCGACAATCATCTTTAAAAATTGGTTCCGTATACACATCAAGGAAGCACTTTCATTCAGATGTCACCAATTGGCTAAATTTCGAAGAATAACTTCAAGGCAACAAGAATGCCGCGGCACGGAAGTCTTGATTTATGGTGCTGATCCGCATGCTCTCCGCGTTTTGTTTAACACTACTGTCATCCTTTTGCACTTCGTTAGCATGAGCCCGGAAAGAATAACACAGACGCTAATATTTAGCTGGCTGTTCTGACCTATTTTACCAAGATAGAGAGGAGGCATAGGTGCTACCCTAGCTCCTGAGAACGTTGGATTATTGAGGGGCTGACTTCTGACTGATCAGGGGTGAGCAGCCCGGCAATCTGCATATGACCACTCACTAACAGGACAGAACATTGGTGATGCAGTTGGTGAAAGTCGTTTGTACACTGATACAGGAAAAAGGCGGATGAATGTACGTTAAGCTTGAAGGAATAGAGCGAATCTGGGCCGATCTGAAACTGGATCGCAGAACAGCGGGATTCGGGGGTGAAAAATGCATAGAAAAGGGTAACTGAGAGTAGAAAAACTACAGAATGGGGTGGTTTGTAGTAAAAACTACAAGGCTGGAGGAGAGGAGCAAACTGGCGCCACACTAGTCACCCCCAACCGCCACCAAGTAGACAAGCAGCGGCAGCAGCAGACAAAAACGCCTGAGAGGAGGAATAGCCAGCAAAATCCACTTCCCGGAGGCGAATGGAAAAACACGTGGCTTTTTGCGTGTGTGTGAAATTATATACGTCCACACATTTAGTTCGAATTGGGTTGTTTGGCAAGCAAATGCAAAGGCAAACACACGTAAGAATCGATGCTGGTGAAAGTGGTGGCAGTAATCAGGTGCTTATGGAGATGGATTTGGCTGTATGGAAAAAATCTAGTAAGAAGTGGCTCAAATGGGAACAGGACGACCAGAGGCCAAACAAGTTCGAAAACAGAAGTAAACCTGCAATAAACGCATTTCATAACAATCGAGGCAGTCACATTGGAGAGGCTATTCGGCCTCCTGCTTGACCGGTGCATCGAGAGCGCCCGCGGCTGTAGTGGACACCAGTTTCCCATCATGTAATGCTATCTGTTGAACGCCTTCAATGACGTCTTCCACAGTCGGGTCAGGTTCTGGTTCATCTTTGGATTCTGACCCGGTCTCTGGATGGTAGGCGTCTGTATCAGCAGTATTTTGTAGCATGTTTGCTGTGTTCAGCTCAGCCTTCGGATCAACTGCAGCCTCGGTCACAGGTCTCTCGATAGTGGCTGGGTTTTGTTCCCTCGGAGCATCGCCAGTGGTCGTTACCATATCAGCCAATTCGGTGGATTCAGATGGTTGTTCTTGGGGTGTATTCATTGAGTCCGGTACTACCTGGGCCTGTATGACTAGGTTCTGTGCAGACACGGTGACATTGACCGCGACTGCATCCTCGGGAACATTGCTTTCACCTGGTACAACATCAGCGGATGCAGCAAGTTGTTCTTTGTCCACACCGATTTGTCCGTTTAAGCGTGGTGCATGGTCTCCAGTTGTGGGAGGTCTTCGTCGAGGTCCCCGAGGATAGCCACCACCAAATCCTCCTGAAAAAGAAAAAATACAGCATGGATATGCGGCACCAGATCAGAACAGTCAATGAAGGAAGATAACATTCAACAAATGTTTGCTTAAGATCTCAAATGTGCGAACCATCTTCAGGGGACAATGAACTCGTCCTGGTGAGGCCCTTCAATCATCGTCATGGGTGGAAAGACGGACCGTTGCCTCCCAAGTTGCGAGGAGGTCATGCTGACATGAAAACCATCTTCAAATTGAGAATATGTTTGCAGTCCTTATTACTTGTAGGCAGTTACTAGACTGGTGGGATTTGTACGCTCATCAGTCCCATCACTGACCGCATCGGTCCAAGCTAGAGAGGGGGACAAGGAAGCTCAAGGAAGGTGCATGGTTCCAACCCAACACCGCAGCTTGACTGTCTATCTATCTATCTGTCTTGACTATCTACCTATCCCTATCCAGGCTTGGACAACCTGGCAGTATCGTGACCTTTCTCCGGGTAGTACGGCAGCTAGGCACCAAAAATGAACGATCATGCTATCAATTTGTGATACAGAATATGGAATTCAACTGAAAACACTTTTTCTTTAATTTTTCGACCACGATAAAAAATAATGCAACCAAAATTCGGAGGCTGGCGGCTAAATCCGTTGTTATACGGTATAAACACCCGCGCCTGAATTGAAACCCAGTTAAATCAATTGTTCCGGAAAAATTTGGTCAGTGCACTGGGATACTACTTGGATCACCCAGTCACCTAGGTGAAAATACAATGGCTAACAATCCAGAAAACCGAAAAATCTCCTTTAGACTTAAAAAACTGTGTTGAGTGGTGTAGCACTACGTTATCGATCAGCTTCAAGGTTCAATGACTTGTGAAAGATTTTTACCCGCCCCTTGCATTGGACGAGTGATTACTGACCGAGCCAATCAGCTAACTCCTTTTGACATCGTCAGCCGTTGAAATGTCTGATAAAACTCCAACTCAATTAGTGGGGTTCTCTCATGCAGATAACACCAGGAAGACAGAGAGATCAGTCGATCCGTTACGAACGGAACTTTCATGTATCTATCTATGTGCCTTGCGTCACGCTAGTTCCCGTTTCTAGTCTGTGCTAAGTCCATCAGTGCAACAGTCTGACCACTAAGCTACGGGAATCGATATATCAACAGAAAGTAAGTACGTCAACTTGCGTAATACCATCGAGGAGAATATGGTGAATCCCCATGTGCATGTCTCATGTCACGTGACCTTTAAACGAAAAACAAGTTATCAGTGCGATGTTGAAGGACGGTATAGGCTATTAAAAATTGGTAGGCGAAATTCAGTGGGCTGGAATCTCGACCAAACCAGTCGTTGGTGAGTGGGACAGCATGTAGGGAACCAAAGCTTCGAAGAGTCCACAAATATTACGCACATAGGATGTGGAAGAACAGTGATTATGTCAACAAAAAACAAATAATATAACAGTTCAGCTGTAACATCCATGTCATCTGAAGAAAGCGCGAGAGCTGAGATACCGTCGGGCTACCCAAGTCTAGAAAGAAGCGGTCAAGATGCCGAGTTGAGTTCGAACAACGGACCTTCCGTTCAGTAAGTTCGCGTCTTAACCACTAAGTATGTAAGGGCAGTATTTTCTCAGCTTAGTTCTCGGTCCGAAGTGTCCAAGCTATGGTTCCCGACAAAACAACCACCAAAGGTGCATAACGTTATATATATATATATAAAGTGTATGCGGCGACAACCGAATATAGTCGTGAGCTCGAGTTAGCTTAGTTAAGACACGAATTTGCCGACCGGAAGGTTCGTGGTTAAACACCCAACCACTACAGCTTGGCAGCCCTTGTCTCTGCTTAGGCAACCCGGCAATATCTCAGCCCTCGTGCTTCCTTCGGGTGGCATGGCTTTAGCAATAATATTCCACGAGCGTGGTGTCCTCGCGGTAGTTTCTTAAACGATCCGGCACACGAAGCGGAATGAACCCGGGCAATTTCAAAACAACACTTTGAAGTTATAGCTGCAAGGATAGTATAACAATGGCCCAATTGTCCTTAGCCTATTTGTAGTGAATTTTACTGGGAAGTGGTAAGTACTATAAAGCTCAAAGTCAATATAGGCGTCACTGAAGGTGATCTAAAAGCTGTTGTATACCCGTGACTCACTTCTCCTTGGACCCTGATCGAATCCATCTCTGTATCCTCCCATTGGTCTGAACCGGTTCTGATATGGCGGCGGGCCAACAGGGTGAACCATGTAATTTTGCCCGTAAGCATAGCCGTTCATATAGCGGAAACCGCCACGTTGGCGGAATGGGCGTCTGAACGGTCGAGGGTGTCCTCTGCCGTCGTATCTCGCGACTGGCGTGTGTGCATCGTGCTCTAAACCGTTTTGATCGTCATCCATGTTGTCTCCTGTATCGGCAGTTGGTGCACTTCGATGTCTCGGAGTACGTCGTTGAGGTCGACGACGTTGGCGCGGAACGGTGTGATTTGGAGAATGGCCATCGACAGCCGTATGTTCGTTCAGTTGATTCGGTGTGGTGCCGTTGGGTCCTTCATGTTTTCCATTGTCGGGATGCTACAGAAGAGAATACAAATGCAGAACAAGGGTAAGAGAAAAAATGTCAACCGAAAGCAAGCCAACAGTGATGGTGACAACTGTCCATCGATCGGGAATCGGAATAAACTAACATCTCAGGAGAAAAATCGGAGCCAAGAACCGAAAGGGTCACTTCTGTCAAGACCACCCCATCCCGCCAGCAGTAGTCGAAGTTCTCAAAGCAAATTCAGAAGTTGTGAACGTCGAAATAAACAATGGCATTTTGTTTGCCCTGTTGGTTGTGAAACACATGGAAAAATATCACAGCGGAACACCACGGCCAACGTGGTTGTTTCGATTTCAGAAATCCTCAAACTAACAAACGACGCCCAAGCTCTTTTGACAAAAATAGGGTCAACTATGATCGGAATTGATTGTGCCCATCAAGGAACCGACATAAACAACTTGGAGGAAACAGAACCTGTCGGGGAAATATGCATTTATTGTGGTGACATTCTACAACCATTAAAAAAGTCTAAGCTGCTTGTGGACAATGGATAACTACATGATGATTAACAAAGAACACTGGTTTGAACTCCCTGGAGGACCACCACCGCCACTGCACCGTGAGGTCACCATCGGCGTACTTCTATGACTCACTGGGCGGTACTGAGGGTTGTATAATATCCTTGTCATGTTTATCGATGGTTAGGAGTCATACCCTATAGGTAAGGTATCGTAAGAAGTGTGACGACATGTTCGCTTTCCCTGGAAATCCTACGGCTACCACTGGCGCCTTGTGGTCGGGCTTTCGGGTCGCAACTTCATGCCACATTGGATGTCACGTAGTGTCATCAATCAGTTCTCCTCACTTGTTGCATGCAGCAGAGCAAGTCGTCCCAAACAGAAGACTTCAACAGTATCATCTATGTACCGCACTGTCCTATTTAGCGATCACTTCATTGTAGATCCCGGTTACGAATACGTCAGTCTGGTATTCAAGAATGTGACTGTCACTTCACGTTCCCTTCTTAGACCTCGTCACCGTTTTTAATACAGCCTTTAATGTACGAACCTTAGGCTACTTGGCCAACAAGCCGCACAATCAGGATGCTCCGATGATACGTGGTTGCTTCATCTCCGGAAGTAAGATAAAAGCATGGCAATCGAGTTCACTGTTTCTTGGTTGAACGCTAACGCCCATAAACTCCCGGCGATTCCTCAGCTTCCGCGGACGGGACGGTACATCTGGTTTGACCCATTAGAACGTACAGAACCATAAGACGCTAATTCGTTTGTGTCTAAGTTGTCTTTTTTTGAAGATATAACAACAAACTGTGGGATGGTTCATCAGCTTCACTATGCGTTGGACGCTGGAAACCACTGATGCCGCTGGAAGCACGAATTGGTTTTTAAAAAATGTAGCTCTAACTAAATCAGATCAGCAAGGAGTTAGGCTGCAGATGAAACAAAAACACAGAATGTGCATACGCGTTGCCCTGCTTGAACAGTAGCGATTCGGGCCTAGATCGCGTCTTTTGGCACGGATAGGAATTTCATAGGGTTCGTATTATTATAGCACTAATAGTGGGTTCACACGTTATTACAATTGTGGACTGGCACCCGTTTCCGGATTGGCCTATTACGTCCAACCACGCCGATGGACACCCAGCCACGATGGGTACTGTCATATACGACTTGCACTGAGTCGGATGCGTATCTACATAAGCGCTCTGAACCCGGAGGGTGAACAGGAGGGGATAAGCCTCAAGCCATCGACAAGTTCAACTTGTGGCTCATAACTGTCAATTTAGGTTGAGTCCAACATTGCGTGAAAGTAAACGTCTTGTGGTTAGTACCATTCAGGAGGTGCATTCAAGTCACACCCATAAAGCGAGCTAGCCATTGGTCAGTTGGGTAACAGCAACGATGGTCATCCCTACACTGCGGAATTCCGGATTGGCCTATTACGTCCAACCACGCCGATGGACACCCAGCCACGATGGGTACTGTCATATACGACTTGCACTGAGTCGGATGCGTATCTACATAAGCGCTCTGAACCCGGAGGGTGAACAGGAGGGGATAAGCCTCAAGCCATCGACAAGTTCAACTTGTGGCTCATAACTGTCAATTTAGGTTGAGTCCAACATTGCGTGAAAGTAAACGTCTTGTGGTTAGTACCATTCAGGAGGTGCATTCAAGTCACACCCATAAAGCGAGCTAGCCATTGGTCAGTTGGGTAACAGCAACGCACTGCGGAACGTCCGGAGAAATTGGGTTGGGTTCGTTTGATGCTCGGACCATAGATGACCTTAAGGTAAGCGTAAAATCCGCCTGGCAACTTATTCCTCGATCTGTTTTCTGTTCCATACCCTTGTTGACAAAAGGATCGCAGGAAGCAAGGTACGATATAGCGATCAGAAATGAAAGCAGTTACGCTCATGCGCACTGTCCTGAGTGGGATCAATGTGATTCTCTCTGCACATAGGTTGCGAATCCTACAAGATATGGCTCGCGGATCTCAGTGAGGTTCACAAAAGGTCTCGGGCCACGAAGCCCAGACATCTCCGTAAGGAAGGAATGTTATAAGCACAATGTGTAGAAATAACGATTGGACAGAACCGTTTCTTTACTCCACTTGCTGTTCACAGCTCCGTTCATCAACTTCGACAAGCTTCAGTAGCTGAGGAGTATGGAGCTGATCTGGCTAGAAAGCACAGTCATGTGGACGACGAAGTGTTTGCAGGATGAATGGAGGCGAGTTAAAGAAGCGATGCTCTCAGCTTTCAGAATTGTTTGTCCAACCTATCTGACTCGACTCAACGAACACCGGATAGCTTCGAGATGAGCAGATCTTATTGCTGCCAGAAAGGCGATACCATCAACTAGCTAATATGACGGCGCATGCAGACCTCTCAAAAACCAGATAATCAGGAGCTTAAAGAATGATAGAGAATGCTGGTGGATTTCGAAGGTCCGGGAGATAGAGAAGGCCTTCACTGCAACCAGCAGCAGCACCCTGTTTCAAATGATCCGATCAAAGGGTCAAAAGAAGGCAAGTGTCAGTGACACAGTATGCGAAAAAGACGGAACAGCAATTCACTCGCCCCGTCGCCATCTTGAGCGGTGGGCTGAGCACTTCCAAGAACAGTTCACCTGGCCTCCTTCAACACAACTACTGGAAGAACCATGTGGGCCTGAATGGAACATTGACACCAACCCACCATCAGCAACCGAAATCCAGCATGAGATTTTAATCCTGAAGTGCGACAAGGCACCTGGCCCGGATGGTTTAAACCCCGCGTTCTTCGAAGATGTGGATGTCCTGGTGAACAGTCTGAGAACCATAGTGCAGAAGATTTGGGACGAAAACAGAATATCAGCCGAATAGAGCTCCTCGACCGCCGTCCCAGTTTTCAAAAAAGCAGCAAGAACGTCACGTCAAAACCATCGTGGTATCCGCCTGTTATCCGTCGCATCTAAAGTGCTCTCTGGCATTATTTAGCGCAGGTTGATGGATTATGGGGGGACAGACTCGTGAGAACCAAGCTGGGTTTCCCCCTGGTCGAGGATTGATCGACCATACCTCTACCTTGAGACAAATTCTTGAACAGCGCCACTCTTTCAGACATCCCGCGTTAGTCGTTTTTCTGGATTCGAAAGCTGCTTTTGATTCTGTCGATCATCAGCAACTTTGACAGTACCTGGCGATCAAAGGTGTCCCTTTCAAATTTCTCTCCCTTATGAGGACACTCTATGCGAACTCCTGTGAGCGCGTACGAGTATACGGGAAGCTCTCGCCTAAGTTCATCATATCCAGTGGTGTAAGACAAGGCTGTGCTCTTTCCCCTTTCCACTTTGTTATTTATATGCTGCTTGAAATTTCGCTGCCTGCCTCTGAAACCTCGGGAGTCGAAATGCTCCCGGGACGTTCCCTCACAGACGTTGAGTATGCAGACGATATTGCTCCCCTTGGTTCAGATCCTCCCCAAATGCGAACAATTTTAAACAACCTAAATAACTCTGCCGCATGGTTTGGCATGCGCTTCACACCTGCCAAGCGTAAAATGCTGCTACAAGACTGGGTGGGATCAAACCCACACCTAATGCTTGCGGGTGAGCCAACCGACGTAGTAGATAAGTTTGTTTACCTGGGTAGCAGCATAAGTTCCGGTTGACTAGCTGGAGATGAGATTATTTCTCGAATCGGAAAGGCCAGGGTAGCTTTTGCCAACCTCCGAAACCTATGGGGCTAACGTGACGTGAGTTTGTCTGTCAAGGGGAGAGTTTACGCTGTGGTGGTGCGATCCATACTGCCTTATGGATCAGAGACGTGGCCCCTACGTGCACAGGACATAAGGAAGATGTCAGCGTTTGATCATCGGTGTCTCCGCAGCATCGGCCAGGTTTGGTCCGAACATCGGATCAGTAATACTGAGTTACGCTAGATGGTTTTAGGAAGAAGAAACTCTCCCTCGATAGACGAATTACTCACGCTCCATAGGTTGTGCTGCCTGGAACATGTACTTCGCATGCCAGAATACCGTCTGCCTCAGAGCTCTTTTCTTCCAGCCCTGTGCTGGATGGAAGCCACCGGGAGGTGGACAGTGTATGACGCGGCAACGAAGTACAAAAACACCAACCAGTAAGCTTAGTCGGGTGGGCATGAGCGTGAAATCCACCTGGCAACTAATTCCTCGATCAGCTTGCTCATTCTGCTTCATCTATTATTCGTCCTTGGTGCGAGTGAAATGCCGAGTCAGGTCATTTCGAGCATCCTTTAGCTGCTATCACAACTTCACTGTTCGGGTTCACAGGGATTTGCCAAACGCAGTTTTTTTTCTAGCCACCAGCTGTTCCTTATCCTGTTTGTTCCGTCAAAAAAGAATCAGGGAGTCTCGGATGTAGTTCTCCGATCCGGTTGACTGCAGTAGTTATCATTTAGTGATTCCAACTGTACCACGCTTCTAACAGCAGGCAACATGAATTGAGGGTTGTCGACCCGGAGGCCGGTTGAAAATGATAAGTCACCTGATTTTGGGATCTTTGAGATGGTTCACATCAATTTTTATGCACTCTTTAATGCAACTGGTGCAGTGTGGTTCGATAAATCGGATTTCGGACTTTGTTCAAACAGGCTCGTAATCTGTTCTACAGTCGGTTGCTCACAACACTTGCGTCATGCATACTTCTCCCAGGATACAGCACGGATATCGACCATTTTCGACATGTAGGTGAACAAGCTTACTGAAAACTCTAATTCTCGTACAAGAAAACTTTCTCAGGCATTTGAAACAAACATAATAAATACAGTTTTACTATTAGTTCACCAGTTCGAGCTCAGTAACCACCAGAATGATCAAATCAGTATTGCTTGACTAAACACAGGTTCTGCTCTTTTAAATGCAAATGATTCCAATGGTTTCATTTCTGGTTCCGTCAATATTGTGGTTTGAATAATCAGAAAAAAACATTCGCTGCGAATAGGCGGTGGATTCTTCAGCTACAGAACGCTGAGTGCTAGTTTATTTTACTGCTGCGAAACTTTGCCTTTCCAAAACGAAGACCCTAAAGTCTCCGTAATATCTTTGTGGCAAAGCAGACGTTATCTGGCTGAAAAAATGCCCACGAACAAGTGGTGAGAACCACGTAACGTAGGAGATAAGTGTACGCAGACAGAGTGTAAGGCCTGCTGGGCCATACTAATTGTGGCATGTACTACGTATGGAAACAAAGAAATCTGTTTTCTGCTCCATGCCCTTGTTGGCAAAAAGATCGCATGGGGCAAGGTACGACGTACCGAGCAGAAATGAAAGCAGTTACTCTCGAACGTACTGTCCCGAGTGGGACCGATGTGATTTTCTCTGCACTTAGGTTGTGAATCCCACAAAATACGGTTGGCGCATCGCAGTGAGGTTCACAAAGGGTCTCAGCCCACGACGCCCAGACATCTCCGTAAAGAAGAAACGTTGTAAATAAAATCTGTAGAAATGAAGATTAGCCAGGCAACCGCCGCCTCCCTGGATGAGAACCCCGGTAAATCGATCCACAACCTGCATGAGACAGACGGATTGGTCTTCCAAGTAAACCAGCTCTCACTCTTTCTCCCGAGTACATATAGGAAGACAATTCGCGCTGAAGGACAGCTCAATGAACAAAACTTATCAAACGTATTGCGACATTTCATTATAGTTTTTCCATTCCAATTCTTTGCAGGGAATCTCTGACAGCACAGTCTGACTTCCCCATTGTGATTTCATGTACTTTCATAAGGTCGCGTATGATCTGTACCGCTCAGCTCTAAATATTAAGTGTGGAGTTCCAGTATCAAGATCAACACAAGAAGGACGTAAAACAACACGTGCAACTAACACAACATGGAATCAGGATACACCTATATCCTGTTGTTGTCGACCAGAAGAAATTTGTCAGATACGCTACAAAGCTGAACGCCCGTGAAAGATCAGGTATCTTTCGTCCATGGAAACAATGTGGTGAAAATTTCACGAGTGAGACTTGAACTGGATCGGAACGCCAGGTGGTCACCATAGAAACGAAAAATAATTTGACTACTCATGAGTGGTTTGCAAAAACAAGGTTTGTGGTTACCTTCGGAACTACGGCTCACTTATTTCCATGTTTTTCTGTACCGTTGGATTTTGTCGAACCGAGACTTTTTAGAGCATCCAGCCTAGCTATCCACGGTCCCTGGTTCACAAAACTTTGATCAATAGAGATTACGTGACCTGTGAGCAATTTGAGATACGTTTACGTAAGCTTCAACACATTTTTCGGAGTCACCATCATCACCATCGACGGCAAGACATCAGTGTTCAACACCGATGCTTCCCTGCCGGACAGACAGTCCCATCTTACCACAAAAGACTCTTGTTTCAGGTAGTGAAGTTTCTAGTGTTTTATATCCTCTGTTGTTTACAGTAGGATGCCAATACAATAAAAAACGTCTGGTCACAATCTGTGTAGATGGTCGAATACAGTTGGACACTGTAACGAGAAAGCAGTGCATCGAAATGCAGAACCGCCCCCCTGACACATAAGATATGGAAATGCTTGTATCGCTTCGCTCCTGAGTAATACGTATGCCGTTCAAACCGCAAAGTGGGAACAGCGTCGGGGGTGAAACGACGTTGCTTTTTTTCGGAATGACATTACAGAAAGAGATGACACAAAAAATCACTTGTGATCAGAATGACGTTGACACCCAGTCCTTAACCAGTGGTCCTTCAATGTAGGTCGCACTGAGTTAGGACCCATAAAAAGTTGCAAAAAGCTTCAAAATGAAGACAGCGACTGACACTTAGGCCAACGAGAATCATTCACCTCGGAGATGCTGTTTCAAAAGACTTTAGTCTTGAATTTCCGACGAGTTTCTGCTAGCTTCAGTTGCTAGAATGTCCAATAAATAACTAATAAGCTACCACCTGCTACACCCTTTCGGTATCTCGCTGCCATACCACCCGAAACAGATATCACGAGTGGACGAAACAAAGAGGGCAGCTCAACTGATATAAGTCAATCCAATTTAATGTACTGACGGGCGTTCTGCAGTGAACATGAAACAGCAAATTGCCATACCTTTGTATTTTGAACTCCTACGGCCATTGGAGTATTGCTGTCACATGTATTAGGCCGGCGGAATGAACTGTTGGGAATATAATCGCAGTTTTATTGACTTCGCCCTTTCAAGCACATAATTCTCTTGAAAAAGCCGCGAGGACGGGGAACCGAAGATGGGAGACATACAATGGTAAAAATGGCTACCCATAACCTTCACTGCAGACTTACTCCCTGACATTCCAGGTGTAAACACTATGCGATTGCCGGTTCGTGCTCCAAGAATACCCAACGTCTACAACATGTAGAGCTCTTTAACCAGACTCCAACATCACTGATCAGCGAAATATTAGTGGGTAGAACCTCGGTGGAGCGTGTATTGATCTGTAACTGATAATAATACTACGTTCAATTTCTCTGCTGAGGATCGGTGATGATGCACCGTAGCCCTAACACGGCCCCAGGATCACTTGTTCAGTAGAACCTGGAAAATAGGTGACGAAAACCTGTATATGAATTCAACCCCACGCTTACCGAAAGGAGATTGACACAGTATTTTCCCTGACCAGGTTCGCACATGTATGTACATACATGTATGTGATCTAGCAGCAAAGAGCAGAGTGCAGCCGCCAATCGCTTTGCTGGTGAATAGAATTGTCATTGTGAAGAGACAAGTACTGTTAACAGGCATCTACGCTATAGACGAAAAAGAACGCTGCTTGAGGATGGACCACGTCGATTGAGTCCGAAACTTCGCAACATGTCGAGGGCTCGTTGACCGATTAAAATAGCTCCCACCCCGACCACCTAAACGCGATCACCTTTATTCGCAGTTGGAAGACTGGAAGAAAACACGGTCAAACTTAGATGAACAGAATAAAAATGGATACCATTTTGGGGCGATAGCGGAATATACAGTGGCTGACGAAACTAAGTTGCTCTTAAAAATAAGCTTTACACCTCACCTCTCCTTCTCCGGCGGAGAGCACTCGATTGGAAGACTGACGTGGACCTCTAGGGCGACGACCACCTTGTTTTGGACGAATGTGTTCCGCCTCAGGTGTGAACGCCGCATTGGGTGTGGAATTAGGATCCATGTTTGGTTCACTGGTAGTGCGGAACCGTCTATAGACTGGCTTGATGCCCTGAAAGAGCGAGAATAACATCGACAGTAGCAATTATGGTTACCACCAATCAATAAGCTGTGCATGACTAGAAGTCGAGGGAGACTAGAAGATAATTTAGTCTTCCTGTCGACAGTCGAATACTAATTTCAACAGCGTAAACATGATTGTCAAAGACCATAACACCAGTCTAGAACAGATTGGCTTTAATGCCGCACAAAAATGACGATTTCTTCAGAGAAAACCTCTAGTGGTAATACCAGGATGGAAGAGAGAAGAGGACTATTGCAAGTCTACCACAAAGACGTTGGGATATACGCGACCGAAGCTGTCAGACAATCTGAACCGAAAGTAACACAAACACCACTGGTATCGGTTCAAAGTCGTAACCTGCGCCACTTTTAGCTAAGCGCAGAGTCATACGTACCCCTTCGGAGAGCGGCAGGTTGTGATCGATTTTGTGCCTTTGTACCATTCAACATGCACTGCACCTTGGCCTTAAGATTCTCAGTTCGGCATGAAAAACTAAAATATTCTCGTCAGATGGTAGCTCAGTAACACGTGAACGGAGTACGCAGTTTGTCTCGCTGTATTCCTATAGTGATGTACTCGCTACGTGGCCTAACACTCGTCTTTCAATGAATTCGTTGTGAATTCGCTGAAGCCTGTGTTTATAGTGGATGTGGTTTGGAAATATCAATGACCAAGACACCGATAACGTGGAATTCTTGAAAATGATGTGCCACGATGATGCCAAAAGTAGCACAACCTGGTCTTTGAAACTGTGTTAACTTCACTTGCAACACTATTGTCGGATCTGATGCGGGTTGTGAAATATGTGGAGTGTTGCACAAACAGTAGTGCTTGTAAGAACTAAAAACCTGGACGAATAATTGATGCTGATGGCTTCACATTTTTGTGGATGCGGGGTAGTTACCAAAGGATGGAGTGAGTTCAGTAATCACCTGTGAAAGCTTTTGGTTCCACTTTTCTCAAGATTAACCAATAAATAAAACGTCGTAAATTTCGGGCGAATCAGTTTCACACTAGAACTCAACCGGGAATTGGAATCTTGAGTGCCTCCCAAGACCCACCTAAGAAATCAAACAACTCCCGCACAAAACCATTGTCTGGCTATCTAGTATCAATCACCTGAAAACTTCCATGCCGTATATGCCAGAATCAGCGTACGCGTAGAGGCTGTAACCTACGCGCCTATTGATCCAACCAGGAATGTAGGTATGATAACGGCAAACAGACATGCCCAAACTCACCAGACATCAGTTCCACTGTCCAGCAAGATTACTGAGCATCCTTAACCGAATAGCACCGCCCTACAATAAAATCACTCAATTCCTAACAACGATGGAGATCCCGCCAAAGGCTTGGTTGTGAACAAAATTGCATCTAAGGCCACCGTCAAGTGCAGAGGCCAAACGGCTGAAGTAGTTAGATCGCGAATTTACTGACCGGAAGGTTCGTGGGTCGAACTCGACCTCTGCATCTCGACTTCCCCTGTCTAGGCTCGGACAACCTAGTAGAAACTCAGTCCTCGTGCTTTCTTCGAGTGGCATGGCGGCTAGGGTGCTACAGGTGAATGACGTCAAGTGGAGGCACCACGCATGGTTGCATCAAAGGACTGATGTTGCCTAGGGAACTGCGTAGATCGACGTAGACTACCATACCGCCAGCATGCTCAATGTGAAGTTTGGCAACGTAGGCGGTTGAAACGGGACTACATGCACAGAAGAAAGGGGCTTTCATTACCATGATGACGGCGCACACGATCAGGTGCCAAACATATTGGTAATATACCAACTAACATACTACTTTACTCCGGCCGAACTCTACTGAATCTCATTAGTAGTTGACACAAGTGATGCTTCTGCACCATTGACATTTATTCTGTACTCTGTACGCCCGAATGCATCTTTCAGGGTGATAGGCATCTACCGCTGCCAGTGACCTTTTGGAGATTAGTATACCAACTTGTGGTGCTCCTGACTCCCCATGCTCGGACATTCGAAGTATACTGAACAGCAGCTCAGCAATTGTAGGTGGTAACAGAAAGTTCGGCAGTCACCCTGCGAGCTGGAAAAGGGTCGTGGTTCGAGTTTTCGCCAACCTCAAAGGATCTTGGACTTCATCATCATCATCATCATCGACAGCATGACAGTGTTCAACACCGATGCTTCACTGCCGTATCTTGGACTTCATAAATCATTATAACAGAATGACGAATACGCCCTGAAAGGGGCGAGTAGGAAGGACTTCGTAACGGGCGAAATTCATTGTGTCGAGTCCCCAATTATCGGCAGATTTTCAAGAATGGACAGCGGCTTTACGAGTATTTATGAACATGTCGAGTGAATCCACCATCTACAAGTTACTTCGGGTAACTACTGAAAAGGTGCTTAAAAAATCATGCGCCTTCTCTACCTTGGGTTTGCCGAAGCAATGAAAAGACCTGAGAACCGAAAAATGCTTCCAATTGGAATAACACGAGATCAGCACAAAGGATTCACCTGGGTTGGAAAAAGAGCTCTGTAACGCAAAAGCACTGAAAAATCGTCCGAGAATTCATGTTCTCTAACTACAATAAAATACTGGATTTCAAGGCCATCCTTTGGAGGGGCAGGATAGAGCCAACAAAAAGTTAAAATTCACAGAAAATAGAAGAATTCGTCTACCACAAAGAGCACCTAAAAGTTTGTGTACAGTACAACTGTCTCACAAGTGCGTAAGCAGTTTTCGAAACAGAAAACGTAGCTCAGTGACCGTTTTGCAATGTTTGTAGCTTATTCGTTCTGGTGTGGAGTTCAACCAACCTCCATCGTTTTCGCCAGCAGACTCTCCCAGAGAACCCGATCCTCTAGAATGGGTAAGGCCTTTGTTGGACAAAAACTCACACAACGAGATCAGTAATAATAAGAAGTTCGAAACTGAAGCAGTAACTATCTAAAGTGCACCAGTTTCGCAGCAGGTGCATCCTTTACCTTTGCATATAAACCGTCGACCTCAAAATAGCTCAGTGGTTAAGGCGCGAAATTACGTAGCTCGAACCCCTAACCTGTATCTCGACTGCTCCTGTCTAGGCCTCAGCAAATTGGCAGTACCTCAGCTCTCAGCTCCCTTCGGGTGGCATGACAGCTAGGCCCCGAAAGGGTGTTACGGGTGAACGATTATCATTGCTCATCATTCAGTAGTTGATTTCATTCCCGGTCAGAGCAACCGCACAATCACTGGACCGCTGTGGACCACTGCAAAGAAATGCCGCAACATGACCTTTCCACGGCTCAAACATTGAGCCATTCGAGAATAACTGCTCGAGCGTTGATCATGAAAATTGACCTAGTTATTACGAAGTCAGGCCGCATTACTTGCTACAGTCAAACTTCACTTTGTGGTGAGAACTGCATGTTCGAAGAGAGTGGGCCGAGAACAGTCGATTGTACGGAAAATTGAACGCTACGTACAGGAGCGTCTTAATAGAATTCCTTCAAATTACAAACAATTATTAGGTAATGTTAGCTGCTAAGATTAGCAATCCACGCTTTGGCTTACCAAAGTCAGACGATAAAAAGGCATCTCTAAAATGAAAGAGTCAAAATTTGGCGTATCAATTCTCCGTAATACACAAGTGGACAACTATAAACCTGCAACGAACTGAATAGATGGGGGTCAATGGTCACACCGTTTGGAGAGGGTGACCTATCCGTAATGGATCCACGATTAGTTTTTGGTGTGAAAAATTGATTTCCAAAAATAAACCAATCGCAACATCCTTAATCAACACACTAAACGCAATATTCTTCAGCATCGAATGAGGTTTTGTTGAGAGTTAAACAGCCTTTCTCTTTGGAAAGCCGAATTCGGCGGTTTTCAAAGTGCGGAGAAGAGGGACTGAACGCGTAAAAAGCCTCAATAAGTCACCAAACTAACTTAGTTCGAAGTGTACGTGATTGATTTGAAAGTCAGCAAGCAACCGAGAACGAGCCCCATTGAGGGGCTAGGTTAGGATTCGACAGCACTAAGCAGTAGGAATCATGAAGCACTGTTGGACAGACTACTTGGTCATATTATCAGGTAAAGTATTCTGGAGCATCTCGTGACTTCTCAGTTGTACAAAGGCTTTCACAAGGTAGGTAATCGAGGGACACAAACCGCAGTCACACTAAGGAATATAGAAAGAAAACTGAGGGAATTAAATTTGTGAGGAAGAGAAAAAACCAGTTTCAACGGACAGTGGAAGTGAAAATTATTTCGATGTTCCACATCCTTCCTTCCAAAATCCTGTATAACTAAACGCTGCAAACCATTCTGACTTCGAGCAATGTGAACGGGCTAGGTGAATTTTCGTTAGGAATGTCATCGCCCCACAAGGTATCTTCTCGTTACCGGCACCTTATTATTTTCCAAGTCCTCTTAGAAGCCTCTGGGGGCGGGATGGTTAGAGCGCGAATTTACTGACCGGGTGGTCCGTGGTTCGAACCCGACTTCTGCCACTCGACTTCCCATGTCTAGGCTAGGGCAACTTGGCAGTATCCCAGCCCTCGTGCTCCCTTCTGGTGACATGGCAGCTAGGCACCGAAAGGGTACTATATCGTCCCCCAAACCGAAACGAATAAATCTGGGATCAACTGCGCACCATTGGAGGAAGACTCCACATGTTCCCATCCCAGGCCTAAAATTTCATCTAATTAGGTGAGACCTCCCGAGTCCTTGCCACAAAAATTACTCTGGATAAAATGAAGAGGTTTCGTTTCGGCGGGATATTCCGTCGCCCGTGATAATAAACGGATATTTTAACCATCCAGAAGGAATACATAAAGCATGTTTCAGCATTTACGCTTGCATCTTAAAGGGGAGCAAAAATGAAATCGCACTGCAACCTTTCTAAACCCAGAAAAGAATTAGCGGCAAAGTCTATGACAAATATGCTCATGGAGATAGCAGAGTAGTGACAATCAAACGCCTTATTTTCGTGTCTACGCAATCGCATGCTTTCGCATAATATTACG